CGAGAGTAAGGCTGATTTCCCATATAATCGTTGGATTCCTCATTGGTGCAATTTATTACGACATCGGCAATGAGGCCTCAAAGGTAATGAGCAATGCCGGTTGCGTCTTCTTTACAGTGATGTTTCTCATGTTCACTGCTATGATGCCTACGATTCTTACGTGTAAGTGAACTACACGATAAATACTTAAGCCTTCTCTTTCTATACGTATTAACAACGTTTTTGATATAGTTCCGACAGAAATGGCTGTATTCGTGAGAGAACATTTAAATTACTGGTATTCTGTGAAAGCTTATTATCTTGCGAGAACTTTAGCCGATGTACCCTTTCAAGTAAGTACATATAAGACTTTATTTCAACACTTATGTTTTCAATGAACACTCATTACAATTAACGTGTTTGTTATTTTTATTGTAGATAGTGTATTCTATAGCATACGTCATTATCGTATACTTCATGACGTCGCAACCATTGGAAACAAATAGATTCATGATGTATTTAACTATATGTATATTAACAGCGTTAGTTTCGCAATCCATCGGTTTAGTAATAGGTGCAGCGATGAGTGTAGAGGTACTGTTTTATATTCTAATCTATAAAATTTGTTTTTGTGTTATTTAGTGTCATCTCTCGGGCCTTAATGAAACGACAAATTTTGTCCTTCTTGCAGAGCGGAGTATTTATTGGCCCTGTATCGTCAGTGCCCATCATTCTGTTCTCCGGTTTCTTCGTCAATTTTGATGCCATTCCAAAATATCTCAAGTTTCTTTCATACGTGAGTTATGTCAGGTACAGCTTTGAAGGTGCCATGATTTCTGTGTATGGTTATAATCGTGCTAAGCTCAAGTGTTCTGACGCTTACTGCCACTTCAAGAGCCCGACGAAGTTCCTGGAAGAAATGTCTATGCAAAACGCTGTCTTCTGGCTAGACGCCGTTGCGTTGGCAGGTTTTTTGCTTACCTTGAGAGTGATCGCCTACTTTGTACTGAGACTGAAGTTACGATCTCTTCGTTAAAACACACAGTGGCCGAATATAATCGATGATCACTTGGTCATCATCATGTTAGGAATATTCATTTTACCTCAATCTAGCCCGAACGCGAGAGCTGACAAGTCTTCTTCGGAAATTCGCGGTTACGATTCTAAATTTCGATTCTTTCTCTGAAAATAGAAATACCCGGACATTTATGTATCAAAATAACATAACATAGGTACATGCCTGAAAAAAGCGCGATGAAATATTTTCTTTTTTATTTGTCGTCAACTATTAAGATTTTCTACTTTCTACTTACTGGAATTCATCATCTCATTTACACGCTCATATTGCAAATGAGAAAATCGCCTTAAAACGTTCTATTATGAAGGGCGTACAGTGCTTCATTACCTCGAGTTTTTTTGAAAGAACCGAAGTTTAAAAGGAAGTCTTCATTCTCAATAACGCATTTCCAATATCAGTTGCAATTAATGTAATTTCTGCCATGTAAATACAAATTGTAAATGTTGAAGAAAACATTCATATTTCATGCAAACTCAAAGAGATACGTATGTTGTTTCATACGATCAAGTGAGATGACTAACAATAGTAGACACAAACGAATGGTACGCATAAAAGAACACAGTTTAGGCATTTTTGACACAATAGAGTGCGCCAGAATTATATTGAAATTGTAAATCATCGATAATAGACCGAAAAGAGATCACTGTTGGTACTATACATTCTCAATCGAAGTGCAAACATTTATAGCCAATTATTACAAACTCGCCAGGAGCCTTAGGCCCATTCAAGACTCATGGTCCCTCCAACGAGCGCGTGTGCACCACGCGACAGCATAGACTTTTTTTGATAGATAAGCAATAGAATTTACAAATCACGAAAATTAGAACGGATTCTTTATTGTTCTTATAGATATTTACGTCACTACATTCACTTACGATTAGTCTATGCGGGAGGTACCTCGAAGATATACCATTGATGATAAACGACCACTAATCGTTTAAACCTAATGGACAAAAAGAAGTTTTAGCCGAAAACATTGAAGTACCAAAAATTAGTTTACACATGTATGTCCAATACTCGGGTATATCGGCGAGATACCTATAAACACATATTTGTACTAAATGATTTCTTACGAGATCGCGAGCAATCCTTATCCATATTGTCATTCCATTTATAAATAATTCAATAATTATAACGTTTAAGCGATAAAGAAAAAATGATAAAACATATACTGTAAAAAGCTCACACCTGACCAATCACTAGCTGCCTGTGCGTTTGCTTCTAAGTCTGGAATGCTGAACATTGTTATATTTATTACGATATAGTCGTTTAATTAACGAGGTGAAGGGAGTATATTATTAAAAAAAAAAAGAAAGAAAAGAAAAAATTAGAATTAAAAACGAAAAAAAAACAAATTAGGCATGTGAGTATGACTTTAACAGAATTATTTCGGTTTTTGGAACTTTTACAAGAATTTTGTTCACGGCCTATGCATTGTTCTTATCGCTACGGGTTCATTTACTCAAGGACTGAAAAAGAAAAAACGGAAGGACAAAACAAAAAATTTATAGACTTTTTTTGACTTACTTAAATTAGATCTCATTTCATGGCGTTTCGTAATATGTATGTAGTTATGTCATAATCATAATATATAATCACACGGTTGGGGTCAGAATAATCTTACTCTCTTATAGATATTTGATGAGTTTCTTAATTCTGGGAAGAAATAATATATGTAGATTAAAGTATTATCATATAAATATTTTTATATTTCAATATCAAATATAAATCTGACATACTGTTAGTACTTTTGGTTTAAAGCAAACTTATTATCGTATTTTATCTTTATGGTAGAGGCGAATTATATTAATTGTATTCCAATGTATATTTATTACCTTTAATGTAATTGCAACATAATTATGACAGTACTTATTACAGGCATTCTATATGTTTAAAATCTTTCCAGGAAGTTGTTCTTTACTCTTAGACAAGTTGTTTTTGATGTAATATCATTCAAGATATCAATCTATTTCTCTTTATTGGAATTTAAGAATTAATTCGATCATAAATTATCAGACTGTTTATTGAACGATAAACCGGTGTTAAACTGGTGACTTTGCATACAGCTAATACAGTATGCAAAGAAACAATTTGTGAATCATGAAGTAAGGATAGAGACAGGAGTAGGCCAAAAATTTTCTTATTCTTAGATTTGCTGTATAATTATCATTTATATTTCTACTTATTGTTATGTGTAAATAAGCAAATTAACCAAACATATAATCAAGAGACAACGACGCACTGCAGTATACATAGTATGTATCTATGTGCGAATATTTTGTTATTATTTCAATTTTACCATGGTAAAACAATTAATAATAAACATTATACCATAATCGTTTAAAATCGACATTACCATAAATTTGGATATCATATGATCATTTATATTTCATTCCAAATGCATTCTAGTAATAATAATATGGAATGTCTGTGATTCAGTATCGACAAACATTGTTTGGTGTTTAAAGACAAGCTCTATGAGATGTACATATAAAATGGTATAAATGTAAGGATTAATAAACATGAAGTAATAGGACATCGAAATTGAATAGATACAATAAGATAACAGTTATGTTACCGTGTATACTGTTATCACGTTTTGAAAATAAAGGGTGGAATATCTGTTTAGACCTTGGTTCGCATTTATAACATAACAAAAGTAAAATATTCAAAAACCAAAATAAACTATTTAATTCTACCATACTATAGTCAGCTCTATATTCTTAGTAGTTTTGCTCATAAAAATATATACCAACATATTATGCAGAACCAAGGTTTAAGCATACGTAATATCGGTACGATGAATTGAAACTGGATAAAATTCATATTCGTTTACCATTCATTCTTATTATCGGTTCATTGTTTCTTATGACACAAGTTATTGATTATTTTTTCTATGTATAATGCTGCGTAATTGCATTCGCGATTGAATGAATTATTAACAGATGTAAAGATGGTAAAATGTTAGGTTTAGTGGTTTACACGATCAAAATGTTAGGTTTACACGAATCCGCGCGTATTGTGTTCAAGGCTCGCGAGAATTGAGACTGTAATAACGAACAAGCAAATTTTTAATTGCACGTGACCATCTTGCGAGCAGAACTCTCAAACTGCTGTTAAAGAACTTTAATAGCATAATATCACGTTTGCATATACATAATGTAGATACGCAGCATAAAAGAATTAATTAAGACGTTCTCGCTTTTAGGACACATATTCCACACGTACAATGTACAATGTATGTATATTGCCCGACCATGTATCGCATACAATTCATGACACTTTTTTCAAGTATTGTAATTTTATATAAACAAGAAAGTATACGTGTGTAAGGCTGTGCGTTTGTGTGTGCGATATCGAAAACAAATAAAAATATGTGTATAAAAAAGAGAAACGATATGTACACGCGGGAAGGAGGATATTACAAATCCTTGCGAAATAAAATTTCCAATATAATATTTCGTGTTTTGAGCAAAGAATGACACGTTTATACTAAAGCACAAATGAATAAAAACATCTGTATAATGTGTAAAAACACAACGATGTTACCTTTATTCAAAATGTAATTGTACTGGATATCGATAACGGATCTATCTAGTGCGCTTGAAATATAGAATTCGAAATTGTAACCGAAAGAATTCGTCAGAAGCACGTGGTGCATAAGCGACCAATCTAATGGAGGAATAGAATTATTTTAAGCTTGCTTTTAGCAATGCTGCCAAAGTAAAGCGTCTTTAAGTTTTTCATTTGTTACAATTTAAGATTAGAATGCTGTAAAATATGAAAATTAATTATTTCACTAGAGCATGTCAAAATTGTAACGTTAATTCTTTCTACAAATGTTCTATGTTTTTTATCACATAATAAGTATTTCGAATATTATTGAATATATATATTCTCAAATTCTATTAGAAATTGTGTAATTAAGTTGGTAAGTGCAGTTTATAGAATTCGTTGTGAAAGTCACAGTTCACTGTGCAACAACGCATCAGAGTTTCAAAAAGTTTGAAAATTTAAAGTCATGGAGAAACCTATAGTTCGTGCAAGGGTAGTGAAGGTCCTCGGCAGAACTGGATCCCAAGGACAATGTACTCAAGTCAAAGTTGAATTTTTGAACGAACAAAATCGGCAGTTAATCAGAAATGTGAAGGGTCCTGTACGAGAAGGAGACATTCTAACACTCTTAGAGTCCGAAAGAGAAGCTAGACGGCTACGTTAATGTATACACTTTCTCCTCAAAAACTGAACAAAAGATATACCGGATTTCTCCAGGTATTCATATCCGTCCCCTCGTTTACCTAATACAAATTTAATACATCTAAGAGGGGTTTCAAGCAACGTTCAGTAATTTTTTTAAAATTATTAAAGTCAATGCTGCAAAAGTAAATCGTTAACTGAATACTCATTTCCTAGGTATTATGAACAGAAGCTTATTGATATTTGTTTTAAAACTACAATCGAATTCCTATTTTCTTATATGTATACCTATATCTTTAACGAAAAAGCTACATTCACGCATACCATTGATGGAAACAGCATGTAAGTACTATCATTGTTCCAGCGTAATTAAAACATATTAAAATTTAAGAAATGAACTGCGTTTATTATTATATCCTGCGAAACAACATCTAATGTAATTTACATTTTTATCCTCAACCTGTTGTAATTTTATTTTAACCTGAACAAAAATGTAAGAAAAAAGGGAAACATTATATATCTGGAAACATTGTAAATACATATTTCTAAGAACGAAATCAGAAACTACTTGTATTTCTATTCTTTTTTTCGTCTTTTTTTCTACCAACGAACTTTCTCGTCGGTGTTCACATAGATTATTTATAGATGTCGCGTCCATCAGGCAATACAAAAAAGATTTTACTTTAGAAGTAGAAATAATTATTCCGTCATTTCATTTTGGCGAAGATTATAAACGTATTCATATAACAAATAAAATAAAAATATATTGTAACATTTTATTTTTATGATTTTGTACTTATTTAATACTTATCTGGGTTATTTTTACATATAACCTGTAGTAAACGTAGTAATATTGACTTCCGGTGGCAGCACTATCAATCCACCTAGGCAACCGTTGGACTTCTTCATTTCAGTTTAGCTTGAACTATCGTGGTAAAAGGTCGTTTTGCTCTTGTTCAATAATTCTTGCGTCTTTCAAGGGTTGATTTTATTTCTTCTTAATCATAATAGTTCGTTTTTTCATCATCCTTTCCACCTTTTTTTATTTTATTTCAATTTATAGTATCGTGTTCAAGCTAGACTCCGTGTAATCGCGTCATTCCATATGTTAGTGTTAATTTTTCGCTCCCACCGCGTGTTTCGTGTGGTGCAGTTTGATTTCATTGTGACTCCCGAACGATCGTAAGTCCCCTTTTCATACTTCACTTCCTTCTATTTACACGTCTGTAAGGTGAAAATTGTATACTTTTTGAAAGTAAGGCAAAACGGAAATCGCCGCCATCTTCCCTGTTGCTTTGACGCAGTCAAATCTAACAGGGCTTTTGGCAGTTATTTCTGAAGCGTTACGATCACAAAGATACAATTTGTGCTGCACTTGGTAATAATTGAATTCTCTGAAATTCAAAAATTACCGTGTTGTGCACCGCCATTACATGACCCGTTTTACGCGGTGATTCGGCAGATATATAGTCTGCTGTTCCTCAACAGCCTCTTTATTTTTAATACAATTCTTAGTAATTGGGCTGGAGGGATCACACGTGTAAAATCGGTAACCCATTAAGGATCTTTGCTTATTGTAAATGAGCAGAAGCAAAAGAAACATTAATATCTCTGCAACGCAGAGAAACGCAGTTTCCTAGCTTTGTCTCGTCTACAAAATTTGCGTGTGAATGGAATAGCAACACAATTATTGTTTCTATTTCATTTACGATTCTACCTTTTCCTGTATCCTCGAGACGACGAATCGGGCGTGGTGTGCAACGTAATTAAACTAGCACAATCTCCCATGTTATGGAGATTTCTTATATAGTTTCGCATCGTTCTACCGTTATCGTTGGCCCTTCTTTTATTAAGAAGTATGCCATTAAATAACATATAAATTACGCGATTATACACATCTATCTCCTACCTATCTAGTTTATTAGCTAGGGACATTAGGGATTAGCTCAATTTTTAGATTTTAGATAGGGTTTAGTATAAGTTTTAGTTAAGAGATAGCTTTAAAAGAGTTTAGAGGATGGTTAGCACCTCTACCTCTTTTTCGGGTAGGTCCACTTTTTTGTAAACTGTTCATTCTAATTGGAATAAACGGTTAATAGACTGCGATGATGTTTACCGCAGGTTATCGAGTTTTTCTGCAAAGGAAGGGTGGATGGGTCCGTTGGAGTTAGGGCGAGTCACTATTTGCAGCAACCTCCTCGTGGTGTGACTTGGGAAATTTGTATTACTATATAAGTAAATCAAATTTGCTAATGGCTGCAACGTTTTGGCATTTTTCGTGACTAACTACATGAAATAAAAGTCACTAAGAATAAACATTTGTAATGTATAATTTTGTGTATACTTTTTATCCTCAAATAATTACATTATTGTGTCCTAAGTTTTCGTGTAAGTATGTATAAGTAATATTCATAATTATTATAATTCATTATAATAATTATTATAATTCTTATAAATAATTTACATACCTCTCCCTAATCCATGCAGCGACGATAGATTTTGACCGATCGAATTCGCGTTCAGCAAAAGAAGTTGTGATAGTTTGGCGATATTAATGACTTCCATATTAAAGGATCGAATGAATGTTATAAATAAAATAGACGGGATGATAAATACCTACGGTGAATGTAACAGAGATTTAGAAAGGGGAAAAATAAGTATCGAAGTTTGGAATTCCATAATCTTATCGGTGGCCAATCCGCTGATCGAATTTTAGGATGGAGAAATACTAATTATTGATCAGACGACTACACAATCAAAACGTGCATCAGTTAGTCAACTATCTATTGGGATGGTGTATGGAAAGTCGTACTGTGTACTGGTAACGTTAAAATTATTATATATATATCTTTTTTGTGTTTTTCTATTTTTTGTAACCTTAACGATTTGTGTGAAATCTACATACATTGGTAAGTATCGACAAGGATATATTATTTATAGGGATACATACATATATGGAAAATTAGGTATATATACAAGACCGAAAACAAGTGAATACATACTTTGTTAAACATAACCTCGAGTTTTTACGATTGAGAAATAATACATGTAATGCGTGGTATTGTAACTACTAAGTAAATATTTAATTCTTTGCCGTATTTGAATTAAAACATTTGATTATGTTTTATTAAGCCTTCTTGGAAGGCTTGGAATAATTTATATGCTTCTGAGCGTTGTTCTATTCAATTCAGTCAGGAACAATTGAACGAAATACAGAATGGAAATTTCCCATTAATAGATTTGATTAAATTTATTCATCATTTTTCCGCTACGCTTAAATCGTTTTCACAAATCTGATAATGTATACATATGACCTTATGACAATAGCTTTTTAGACACTTTTGTTTATTAAAAGTTAGTTTTAGGTAACGTTTATTTTTCGCTTTATGACGATGATTTTAGTAAAACATTCAAACTCACATTTTAATATTTCTGTGCAGTTATACATAAATTTCATGAAATCCTTATTATATAAAAACCAGTACTAAAATAATGGTAGAATATATATTACTATAACTATCATTTTTGTCTTTCCTGCTTCCTAATATGGTGTACTTGATAATTTTGGTAATTTATAAATGTTAATACATTTATCTCATTTTACCGTACATTATTTTTTTCTTGTATTGGTCCTAATTGATTACCTTGCATTACAATTTTATATAGGATTTTGTGCGTATTAAACTTGTTCGATTTAACAACTTATTTTTGCTCTTTTAGAAAATTGAGTTGTTACGTTGATATCAATATAAATCTACCCACAAAGATAAAAAGAATTTAATGCTGGTGAAAAGTGGAAAACAGAATAGACACATCAATTTAGTTATCGATGAAAATAATCGGTGAGTTTCTACTTAATAAAAACTACTATCAACGTTCTTCAGAAATGATCTCGCAAGCTTCTAATAAATGTTTCTGTTTGACTTAATAATTGCATACTAAGTCTTAAAATATAAGTAATTACAAAAGTTGTGTCATTAACGCATTATTCATATTATATATTTTTTTAATACTGTTATTATTTTTGAGAAATATAAGATTGACACGCACGTATGAATACATATATACATACATATACGAAATGAAAGGATATGCAGCTGTTGAGTGTGTAAATCGCAATGTTTTCGTCATTGTCACGTCACTGAATCTCAAGACGTGTTCGTGATTAAAATTTTAAGACGTTTCGTCAACTTTTTTCTATTCTTCGAGGTCTCAAACTTCTGACGTGATAATATATCATTGACAATAAAATAATATTCCAAAAATCACAATGTACCAGTATATACCTCTTATTCCTTTCGCATATTCTTTAATATAAGTTCAAAAGTTCTTAATATATATATGTGTACATATCTCCTTTCAAATATGTACATAAATATACATGTTTATGCTTTAATATATAATTAACATCGAAGCATTATTTTTATACCGCTTATTACACTTATTAAAATAAGGAATGTATTTTTATTCATCATTAAAATAAAGAATTATTCTTGTAATTTTTACAATATATTATTTCACGGAAACAGAATAAATCAATATCAAATGCTTTCAAATGTGACACATAATTATTTACATCCTTATCGTAGCTACTCAACACAAATGAACGCTTGGACATTGATCTTCTGGTTGTGTAAGCAGTCTTTATTCTGGTTAGATTCATAGAACATCGTGCGATAATATTGTCCATAATAGATACGTATAACAGAATACACATTTTCCTAGTACACTACATATATTTTGGCAATGAATTTCAGCACATGCACAATTTTTACTATTGTATAAGTTTGTCCAAGAAGGCAGTAAAAAGCAATCAGTCTTTTAAGACTAATTTAAAAGATACAAAAAGTAGCAACTTACGCGCTTTAAACTTATTTTGATGTAAATTATTTATATCGTAATATTTATTGCAATGATATTTGTTAGGAAAAAATTGTTGTATAACATGCTATTAACAGATTCTAGTAACTATTTTTTATATTATTTTTTTTAGAATCTCCTCACTTTTTTTCTTTAAGTGTGTCATCAGTTTCTTCCGAGTATAGTCATACTAGCAACATTTAT